TAGTTGTGTTTTCCTGTGTTTGTGCCTGCGCGGTGGGGGGGGGGGGGGGGGGGGGGGGGGGGGGGGGTTGTTTGTTGTGAATTGACTGAATTATTTCTTAAAGTCACAGGGGAAGACAGAGGAAGCGATGAAGCAGGACAGTGATATATGGGAGAATGTGGGGACTGGGCCCGCAGCATTGTATTGTGTCCAAATACAATATTGGACTTCCTTTAGATGCTAGACAACACAAACACTTACATGAGAACGTTGAATAGCAGGCAGCAGGGCACCAAGCCTATTTCCTCTAGAGATTGACATGATGGAGAGAGGGAGGAGTATAGGGAGTATGGGGGACGGGGGACGGTGGAGGCTGGTATAAGTTCCACTTTCTTTCTGATTTGATACTGCTGTTCTAACTGTCGCCTCGTCCAGACTGATTCACCTCTGCGATCGATTCATCTGTCCGTCTGATCTCTTTAAATATCTGCTGACGGAACCAGAGCTGCCGAAATCAAAATCTTTTCACGTTGTATTTATAGAGTCGTACATTCATCTCAAACAACTTGGAGGAACTAAACTTGGCAAGAAAAAAAAAAAGAAATCTGCTCCTGAGGATCAGTGGAAGTGGCTTCCTAACTAGACCAGAGCATTGACTCCAAGACATCGCAGAGACTGTCCAGGCTGCTCCGAGATCTGCATTCCTCCCTCCTCTAACCTAAAAGAAACGGGTAAAGTGAATTTGCCGAACCTGAGGAATATTTTATTTTAAACGTAGCGAATAAATTTTAAAACTCCTTAAACTTTTTAAATTCTCTAATATTAATCCCGGATGCAATGTTGGTGCTTAGTGACTATACAAAGGTTTTTTTTTTTGATTTCTAAGAACAATATATAATGTAGAACATGTGTCAAACTTGAGGCCCGGGGACCATATGCGGTCCGCGAAGTCATTTTGTGTGGCCCGCAGGACCTTTTAAAAGGAGAGTGTCTTAACCTGATAAATTCAAAGTTTTTTAATTACACCGAGCGATGAACAATATTTGTAACTTGAATAAATAATAATCAATTACAGAAACATTTATTAATACACTATGGATTAGTTACATCTATACAGTCTTCCAGGTACAACCGGCCCCTTCAAGGAGAACTGTATTGCTGATGTGGCCCCCTGCTGGAAATGAGTTAAACACCCCCGATGTAGAACAACAGAGTTATTTTTAAATGATTGTATTATGTGTTGTCAGACATAAAAATTTACGAGTTACGTTAAAGCAGTGGTGCCCAATAAGTAGATCGGGTTCTACCAGTCGATCGCAAAGCGAGTGCTGGTAGGTCATATGAATATATATTTATGTATTAGACATGTATTTGAAATGGTGAGGGTAATCATAAGCGGTGTGGGAACGCAGATGCGAACGTTAAAGTCCTTACAAGATTTGGAGAACGGCCAGTGTGTGAGTGTGTCTCGGCCCTGTAGGGTGAGGGCAACGAGACAGGATGCAGGACAATGGTACGTACTGTCTGCACTCATAGGAACTATGAACACACAAAGGTCAGACGAAAGTCTATGCAAGGAAGTAATATTGTTACTTATTGCGAGTGCACTTAAGAAAGTGCCGGACGTGTGTATTCACACACCCACACATATATCTTTTAAGAAAAATTCAAGGTTAAAAAAAACAGGAAAGGAGGGAATTTACAGAGAAGTTTTAAGGGGGGATTTAGAAAATATTGAGTCTAAAATCTGTTTCTAAAATATACTTTTTTTTTTAAAATATAATTTGACAGTAAGGTGTAAATGCTTATTTTTAATTTTTTTATTTAAATATTTTCTGAATTAAGTTGCAGCTCAGGCTCAGCATCCTCCATGTCAAAGACTGTGGTTTTAAACCGGTGGTGTCAAACATACGGCCCGCGGGCCAAAACTGGTCCGCTTTGGGGAGTTTAATACGGCCTGCTTGATGTGAAAAAAAAACACTTAATGTTAGTAATATTTTGTAAAATATTTCATTAAATATACATTTTTACCTAATATATTTGTTCTTATTTGAATGAAAACAAAGGGTAAAACATGGACTTATTGTTATTTATAGGTAATTATGTGATGACTGTACTGGTCCGGCCCACTTGACATCTAATTAGGTTGCATGTGGCCCCTGAACCAAAATGAGTTTGACACCCCCCCCCCCCCACACTCTTCTATTAAGGTGAACCTAATTTAAGGTAGTAATATTCATACAGACTAGACATACTAAAAACACAACCTTAAAAACTGCCAGTATCTGCCAATATTATTTATTTCAAGTAGTAGTATACTACTGCATGTTTTTTTATTTTATTCCACATCTGCCATGTTTTAAAGTCAATTTTTCTGTCATTATTATTAAGTCATTTTTTAATGATTTTTAAATCGGCGACATTTCTTTTTTTTCCCCCTGAACAAATGATCGCCTGGGAGTGAACGCATTGTGATACTTTTTGTCCTTATGTGGACATTTTGCAGATCCCAGCACCGCCCATATATGGACCAGGGTTATAATTAGGCTTAGGAGAAGGGCACCAGGGACTCAATATGTCTATGAAAAGACTTCACAAAACAAAACAAATAAAAAAAAAAAAAAAAAAAACGTTGACCCTGGGGGACCCTGTGTGTGAGTTTGAACCATGTGATGCCTTTTCTCCTGCCCTTACCCCAGCAGCTCCCACAATCTGTGTCCTTGGGGAAGCAATAAAATAGAAATCTAGCAGTAAACACAAAAACTCCCTTGTCATCTCTCCATTTCTTAGGTATAAAGACGTAAATGGTGTCTATTCATCGTAGTGCCTGTACAGTTGTTACATGGAGTAGAACACTGTGAATCTTAGTCCTGTGTTGAGTTAAAGAAAACCTCTACCTAAAAAAAAATAAAATACGGATTAAACCTTTTTCTGTTTTAGGTGAGTAACAACTGCGCGGCGAACGACCGAGAGTTTCAGAGCGAAAGACAAGGACTCAACCACAGTCGGAACATGGCGGACTGGAGCCTTCTGGGAAACTTTCTGGAGGAAGTGCAGGAGCATTCCACCTCTGTGGGCAAGGTAATGATAAACCAGTGAGGTGTGAGTTTATCTAGCATGTAACTAAACGTTTTATTTTATTTTTATTTATTTTTATTTTTATTTTTTAACTTAATGGGCTGCATCCGTCCCTCGGGCCTTAGTTGGATAATGGCTGTTGTGTGAAACCAAGAAATGGAGGTTGAGGATGCATGACTTTTTTTAAATTATTTTTTACTCAAGTAGATTTTTACATGGGTACTTTTGCTTTAACCCGAGTAGAATTTAAGAAAAGTAAAAATATTTTTACTTAATTACATTTTTTATATATATAATTTGAAGTAACCACTAAATGGCATGCCATGTTTACAGTCATTTTTTTTCTACATTCCTGAGTCCTGGACATGAGGATCTGGACAATCAAAAAAAAAAAAAAAAAATTAAAAAAAAAGAAAATTTCACCATCGATGTCATTTCTTTTGTGCTGGAAATTAAAGTTTAAAATTGTTTTTGCTCAATTTAGCCAATATATTCATTATAAAATATACAGAAATTGGTATGTGTGATGTGGAGTTGAATGTTAAGCTTGATTAACATGCTATATTGAAAGGAGTACAAAAATTAAGTAAATAAAAAAAATAAATGAAATTCAAACTAATTTTTTTTTTTTTTTTTTCTTCTTTTTCTTCCCAGGTTTGGTTGACCATCCTGTTCATATTTCGGATCCTTGTGCTAGGAACAGCTGCAGAGTCATCCTGGGGAGACGAACAGGAAGATTTTAACTGTGACACTGTACAGCCAGGCTGCGAGAACGTCTGTTACGACAGAGCGTTTCCCATAGCCCATATACGATACTGGGTAATATACTGCACACGTGCATATTGTTACAATGATAATGTTGTGAGATAGATGGAAAAATTCATTGGAAATGTCGCACATTTAATTTTGTATCTGTTGATATAGTTGATACCGGAAACTACAGTTTTAAAGTTTTTATCGCATAACAAATACATAGCGGCCTCTAGTGTCGGCTCTGGGAATTTTGGTGCTCTACTAATGACTATTATAAAACAAAAAACAACAAAAATAATCAAATTTAATTTAACAAAAAATTATTTCCTGTTCGGGTTTTAATAAGAAAAATGGAACACAAATGTTTCAAAGCATATTTAAATTCTTTTTTTATATATATTTTTGGATTATTTTTTATTATTATTTTTGGTTATATTTTTAAGTTTATTACCATTTTATCAACTAACTAACTATTAACTAATTAACCCTGTGTCCCAGGTTCTCCAGATTGTGTTCGTTTCAACACCCAGCCTGATCTACATGGGCCACGCCATGCACACCGTTCGCCGACAGGAGAAGAGGAGGAGCAGAGAGGAGATGGACGAAGGAGGAGGTGAGGGAGAGGATGACCCAGGAGGAGGCGATAAGGGAGGGATGGCTCGTGGTCTGATCAAGAGGGTTGAAGAGAAAGACGAAGAAGAAGAAGGAGGAACGTCGGGAGGTCAAGTCCACCTGAGGGGAGCGTTGCTTCAGACGTATATACTGAGCATCCTGATACGAAGCATCATGGAGGTAAAAGACAGATGAAACCTTGTGAACAAGTTACTGGATAACTAAAGTTAAATAACGACCAAATGAAGCATTTGAAAAAGAAAATTTCTCAAGAGCAAAATTAAGTCATTATTAACATGTAGTTCCAGGACAGTTGAGGGTTTGTGGGCTGGAAAAAAATAAAAATAAAAAAAAAATAAAAAAATTAAGGGACGAGACATTGGATAAAAATTGTTTATTATTATTATTATTGCTATTATTATTATTATTATAATTATTATTGTTGTACCAAATGGTAATACGTAAAAAAATAAAAATAAAAAAATAAATAAAAAAATTAAGGGACGAGACATTGGATAAAAATGGTTTATTATTATTATGGATATTATTATTATTGTTATTAATATTATTGCTATTATTATTATTGATATTGTTATTATTAATATTATTAATATTATTATTGTTATTATTATCATTATTGTTGTTTTTATTGTTCTTCTTCTTCTTATTATAATTATTATTATTATTGTTATTATTATCGTTATTGTTATTGTTATTCTTATTTTTCTTCTTCTTATTATTGTTATTGTTATTATTGATATCATCACCATTACTATGATTATTATTATTATTATAATCTTTCTTTCTTTGTTTTTCTTCTTGAATATAGGTGGTCTTTTTAAGTCTCCAGTACTTCCTGTATGGAATCTTCCTCAGTCCTCTTTATGTTTGCAAGGTACACGCAGTAATGTATACAGTCTGTCTGTTTCAGAACTTGTTGTAGAGATTATATTCAGGCCAACATTCATTTATCCATCATCCGTTTATCCCTCGTCTCTGTTTTTCCGTCTGTCAGGCCTGGCCATGTCCCCACCCAGTGAACTGTTATGTTTCCAGACCAACAGAAAAAAATGTTTTTATAGTCTTCATGATGGCTGTGGCCGCCGTCTCTCTGGTCCTCAGTGTGCTGGAACTATATCACTTGGCATGGAGACACTGTCTCAGGTAGTAATGGTGGACAAACCTTTGAGAAGTACTTATCAAATAGTGGGGTGGGGGCCCTCTGGGGGGGGGGCGCAGTGAGGTGCCCGGGCGGGGACGTGAGGGGTCTTCGAATAGAACATACCACTGCTTTGATGCTTGAATGATAACAAGCCTCCAGTCACTAGGTGGCAGCACCTCATACAGTGGTTTGTACAGATAGAAATATACAGGTTATCAGGTTCTCAATAGTATTTCAATTAATGGGGTTGCGGGTCAGTGGGGGGGTGTGTAAACATTTCTGACCCCAAGGGGGAGCATGACAGAATTTATCGCATAATATGATTCAATTCTTACAGTTTGTGGTCACTACTACACACTATAGAATATGATTTACCAGTACTCCCTTTGCGATCTAGTGGTAGATCTTGATTACACTTATAGACCAGAGGTCACCAACCTTTTTTTTTTTGCTAACAGCTACTTCAAGGGCACTTAGTAAAACATAGAGCTACTTGTTTGATACAGACTTCCCAAACAATGTAATAATAATTATTTCGGGGACATACAGTACAATAGTAGATGCTCTTCTTACCGTCGTCATTGCACCCAATTGGATATCACTGCAAGTGGAACTGATTCAAAAAGCACAGTAAGAGTACAATGTTTTGACCCTCTTGTTGACTAGTTTTATTTTGAGAACCTACCCAGTCCACATGGGCTACCAGGTGCCCCGGGCATCACGACGGTGACCCCTGATCTAGAAAGTCTACCACATCACCACAATAGACTATTAATACATACAGAGATACTGCAAAAACGTTTGTCTATTTTTGTTGTAAAAAAAAAATCAAAATGTTTTTATTTTGACAGTTCCAGTGTCAGTCTAGATGTAGGACAATAACGGTCTCACACTCCATGTTGCAGGAGGTTCCTTTTGGCAGGGAAAGCAGCTTCTGCGGCTCAGGCTTCTCCCACGCGACAGCTCTCTCTGTCTCCGCCACCCACACCGCCCCCTGATTTTACCCACTGCATCATTGGATCTACACACTTCCTGCCAATGATGTTGCCCACCCACGGTCTGGCCAACCAGCAAAACTCCAAGAACATGGCCACCGAGAAGCACAAAATAGCCACCGTCACGGCCGGAGCGGCCGAGGAGGCGAGCTTCCTCCAGATGAACTGCTACACACCCGGATGGCAGAATGAGAGGAAGACTCCGGTCCAGGATGGAGGCCTGAAGTTTGAGCCAAACTTCTGTTGCTCTGGGAGCAGGGGCGACGGCTTCTCTCGGACACAGAGCAAGGAAGCGGACGGGCTGCTGCTGAATCCAAGTGGAGGGGTTTGTCAGAAGGACAAGAGGAGATTCAGCAGAACCAGCGGAACGAGTAGCAGAACGAGAACAGACGACCTGTCGGTTTAATAACAAACTTCAAGCGTTACACACGCGTACATTCATTATTTTTCTATTAGCTCATCATTTTTAATTTGGAACAGTTCTGAGGTGCCACATATAGATAAAAAACTATCTATGGTCAATTTTTTTTTTTTTTTTTTGGATTACAGGAGGAAACCAGATTATGTTTGTGTTTTTTTGGATTACAGGAGGAAACCAGAATATGTTTGTGTTATTTTATATATATACATATATAGGTGAAAAGTAACGAATTATATTTACTCATGTTACTGTAATTGAGTATTTTTGCAAGACAACGCTGACTAAAAGACAGACTTTAGCCTGTCGTTGGATGATGGCTGGTGCGGAACAAAAAAACGGAGGTCGAGGATTGTCAACTCCTGTGGAGCAGAAGACTCAGAAAGAGAAGGAAATCCTTGGCCGTATCTCAGCCAGCTCTTTGTGGTTTTTTTTTTAAAATGGAAATGAAGCAATAACTTTATCGTGCAGAAAGTGCCTGCCCCTGGTGGACAGAGCTGTGTGTCTGTCTTGAATTTGCAGCATAAGCATTCAAATGGATCATAGAATACTCAACTTCTGCCACTTGTATTTGAATTGTTGATTTTGACTTTCTTTACTTTGCAGATTGCATGACTCGTATTTTTTTTTTTTTTTGCATCACTTAATTACAACTAAGTAACTTTTACTCAAGGTCAATTGTAAATAAAGTTTTTTTTTTACTTGCGTAGATTTTTAGATGGGTAAATTGACTTTTACTTGAGTAGAATTTTAGCAAAGTAAAGATACTTTTACTTAATTGCATTCTTTTAGCAATTTTCCACCTCTGGTATATATATACATATATATATATATACATATATATATTTACATATATATATGTATATATATTCTGTATATACAGACATAAACATATTATATGTATATATATATACTGTATATACAGACATAAACATATGACTAAACATATTATAATTTCAATAATTAATTAATCATTTAAAAGAAAACACATGACAAACTGTTCTGCTTGTTTTCACCATAGGTTCATTCTGTCCACGATCATAAATCACATTTATGCTTATGTCTGTAACAGAGTAGTCATTTGTATACAGTGGCAGCAATCCATCAAAAACACACTATACATTTCAGTCAGATGACAGCATAAGTTAAAACCATATATTCCTACAGGCCTGTGAAACCAGGTAAGTGACAGGCCAACTCGAATACCGACATAAAAACATTGTTTAAAACAACAAATAAAACAACCTTTGCTAAGCATCGTGAGTAGGACTTCAGTCGAGTTGTGGTGGATTGAATGTCATGATGCAGAGTTAATTGATCTCAGGAAGGAAACAGCACCATTCTTTTCATGGGTGGGGACGCTAGAAACTCAATTTACTTGGATAAGTTAGAGTCATTTGAGTAAAAGCACCAGTTGATCATTAGTTCAGGGGAACAAAAACTAAAAACACAAAAATACTTAATGACATTTTAACACTTTATACATTAAATATAAGGAGTGGTGTTTTCTTTGCAGAAAGGTTTTTAGAAACGTGACAGCGTAAGTCACTCGTCGTACAATCAGTCATTTGAAATAATATAAATTGTTTTTTATGTCTGATGCATTTTTGTCCTTCCATAGTGAGAGACATTCACAAAACCATTTCAATGTACCGCTGAATTACGAACAGCTGGATATACATAAACCGTGTTTACTATGAACATATGTAAATATTAGACAAAATAGGAAACATGTTCATGTTAAATTATTCTTTGCAGGACTACTTCATGATGTGGCAGATTTAAGGTATGCAACGAGATCTTGACGTTCTCCCTTCTTTTTGATTCCAGCGAAGATCATCTTAGTTCCCGGAATGTACTTTTTGGGATTTTCCAGGTACTCCATTAAGGTGTTCTCACTCCACACGATACCTAGGGAAGAAAAAAAAACCAGATTGATGTTCAACATCATAAAACAGAGAACAAACACTGACACTAAAAATAATTCCACGTGACAGGTGAACTAACCTTTGCTCTTGTTAGCATCAGTGTAGGAATAGCCCGCCGCCTGACCAGTCTTGCGACCAAACAGACCCCAGAGGTTGGGCCCCACCTTGTGCTTGCCGTCCTTTTCTACAGTGTGACACTGCGCACACTTCTGGACAAAAACCTTCTTTCCCTTGGCAACGTCACCCATTTTCAGCAGAGATGGTAAATATGATAATCTGAAAAAGAAACTCTGCATTAGGCCTGCATGTTCATCAGAATAGCTGTGCACATGATCTATTCATAGACTGATGCTATGATAGGAAGCTCATTCCCTTCCCACACTTAACAGCGCCATGATGTGAAGGTCAGGTAACAGACCTCTTCACCAGTGACAGCTCACGTTTTCTCCACCTCTTGAATAACGACTAGTGATAAAGCCACTCAATACAGACAGTGTCCTTATCGCTTCGAGGAAGATCAAATAAAGGACTGCCAAAACGTTTTAAGACGTCACCACAGACGTCACGACATAACCTTGCATGTCGTCACTTCCACGTAACTGTTAAAACTCTATGAATAATTGTTTTAAAAACCCAGACAATTGTACATATTATATCTTTTTTATATTTTGTTACGTACAGTAGGTTTAATGCGGTTTGAATTGTAGGCTACATATGATTCCAATAAGAATGCTCTGGAGTTTTGGCGCAACGGTATAGAGTTGCGTGTCCTTAACTGACCTGCCTGTCTGCATTCCGGTGCCAGTGTACACCAACAAGTTAAATATCTAGAGTGTTTTTTCGGGGTTGTGTAACATTAAATTGTTTTGGTTATAACTGCGTCCTAGAATACATGTCTTACATGTTAGATACACAGAGGTAGTAAATCCTGCAGCCCGTCCCTGACCAATATGGCGGCCACCTCATCATATACCAAGGACATATAAATTACCTTAATGTCTTGAAAGCCAACTTCGCGGACGTTATAAGGTTATAACGTTGGTGGTTTTATCTAATTGACTTTGTATGCGGTGCTGTTAAGCCTGACAATTGCAAAGAATTGCTATATTTGAAGATATACAGATTATTTTTCATTCATAGTGAACACCGCATTAGCCCATCGTCATCACTCATTGTTGATGGAAAAGTCTCAATCTGACAGAGCTGTTACTAATCATAAACGCTAAGTTTAGCTCCGTTACAGCATCGCCATTATATAATTTGTTTATTATTATTATTATTTAACGTATTTACGCGGGGACAAATATGATTTTCCGGCTAAGGAGACCTAAACATAATGCCTTAACGTATTTACGCGGGGACAAATATGGCTAAGGAGACCTAAACATAATGCTAAACATACCTTGTGGTGAAACGTAGGGTAAGGAAAACGTCAACAACCGTAATACCGTTATAGCTCCAAGCCGCCGTCGACCGCTTCTGACGGTCGTAAAGAAGGTCACTGCGCTTTAGAGGAACACCGGCTTTTTGACGTCACGACTCAGTCACGTGCAGAAGGACTTTCCTAGTTGAAAAAAAACCCGCTTTATACTTTCAGATATAATTCGTTTTACAATGCCGGGACATTTAGTCACTCGTGTAGCGTCTAACACAGTTATGTTAATAAAGTCATAGTTTCTTACACGAACAAAAAGTAGTTTCTAATGCGCAATAATTTGGTACATTCCCAGACGTTCATTGTAGTAAAGTAGCACGCTGACGGGGCCATACAAGGGCCATAATATGTCAATGACATAATAAAATGTTTATCTAGCTAATGCACGAATGACCGAAGCAATAGAGCGTATTTTACATAGAAGAATTTTCAAGATTTTGCTGTAAAATCACGTGTTTGCTTTATTAGTGTATCAGTAACAGGGATGGGTAACTTTCAAATATATAGCATGTTTTGTAGAAAACAAAGGTGGTGTCCTGTAGTATAATACATATTTTACATATTTATTTATTTAATTACAGATTTATTTATTGTCTCTGTCGTTTTAAAAAAATGCGGAAGTAGCGAAACCGGAAGTTACGAAGCGGACTTAAGTACGGCGCAGTCTCGTCGGCGGAGTATTCTCAACAGGTCGTTTTACGGAGAAAGCAAAAATGGAGGAGTATCCCCATAAACAACCGGTCGAAAACCTCGACGACCCTCCCAATAGCCGCCTGTTCGTGGTCGGCAGTCGCTCCATGACTGAGGAATCACTTCAGGGGGCTTTCTCAGTGTTCGGAGAAATTCAAGGAGTTTGGATTGTTAAAGATAGACAGACAAAGGAATCCAAAGGTATCGGCTACGTGAAATTTGCCAGGTCTTCGCAGGCCTGTTTGGCCATGGAGGAGATGCACGGAAAAGTTCTGCTAGAAGGGACTAAACCTGTTAAGGTAATGTAGAGTTGAGCCAAACACACAGGGTGGAAGAAGTTATCTGAGTTTAAGTAATTTAATTTTTTGAGTTCTGACTCTTTATTGGCATCTGAATCATACCGTTTAAGCCAGTGTTTCTCACCTACTGTGCCGCGGTGCAAATCACCAGGTAGCCCGTACAGAAGTATCATATGTCAATAAATTGTTCTATAATTACTATTTATTTACTGCAAATAATTCGTCTTTGTTCGTTTATGCGACATTTACAAGGAGAAAATTACACATTCTTTCGCTAGGTGTCAGCAGATCTCTAGAAAGATTAAAGAGAGCCTTAGCTATTGAAGATCATTGTCTTCACTTCCTGCGAGTGTATAAGTATTAAACATGCCCAGTTTTTATTTTAAACAAATAAATTGTGTATACTAGTGACTGTTACTTTTGGGTCTGCGCGTGGTATATTTCTAATACTAAGTTTGGGAAACAGTGGTTTAAGCTTAAGCCATGTCGTGTTTTTATTTTTTCTGTTTGGGAGGGATGCAATATTTTGTTGTTCGATTTTTTTTTTTTTTTTTTTAGAATAGAATTTGTTATTAATATCATATCTGCTTTTTTGAAGGTATTTATTGCCCAATCACGATCATCTGCAAGGCACAGAGACGTGGAGGATGAAGAACTGACCAGAATCTTTGTCATGATCCCGAAAACGTTCACCGAGGAGGATCTCAAAGACACATTTAAAGTAATTATAAATCACTTGTAGTCCACACAGACTCCTCACCCATAAACACTGAAACGACATTGGTGCGTGTGCAAACAGTTTTGGCAGGAGGAACAAGAAAAGAAAGGGTTATACACGGCTGTTGAACATAATTGACTTGATTCTAACTCCTGTCTCGTTGGTTTTCAGGAATATGGTGACATTGAGTACTGCGTGATTATCAAGAATAAAACCACCGGAGAGAGTAAAGGCCTGGGTTACGTGAGATACTTCAAACCGTCCCAGGCTGCGCATGCCATAGAGAACTGCGACAAAAGTAAGAAAACTTGTGGCATGCTATCATTTTCACAACTGTATTTTTACTCATGTAGTAGCATGCGTTAAAAACTTTTGTTGATGCAATTGATGGTGTTTCTAGCCTACAGAGCCATCCTGGCTGAGCCACGTTCCAAGACGATAGCTCCGGACGACTACTCGGTGGGAGCGACCAGGGGAGATTACAATGATTCATCAAACCAGTATGCAGCTCCTATGGGTATGTTTCCCCACTTTTTCCTCGTCAACAATTAACTCCTTCAGTATTTCGTCTAAATTCAGTATTAAGTCTAAATCAAAGATGTTGTTTTTAACTATTTGGTAACAGGCCATGTGTTTTGTTCTTGTTCAGGAGCAGTTTTAATTATAGTCAAATTATATCATCAAAACCCAGTAAATAAAAAGTAGCAGAGGTGTATCAAAATAACAATTGCTTATAGATATATTTTTAAAAAAATATTTGCAGTGTATAAAAAGAACATTAAACATGTTAAATCTCTGAAATGCATCCAGTATTACCCTAGTACTGAACCATGTTTCTATGGTTCACAAAAAGTTTTTTTTTTTTTACTTCCTCCAGTGAACTGTAGATGGCAGGAATGTGCTAAGAATGAGGGACAAAAACATTGAGCAAGTTTAAGTACCTTAAAAAAAAGACACAGTTTCAAGTGTTGTTGCAGCTGTAAATAGAGACATTTTATAAGACAGACCAATGAAGGGAGTTAATAATAATTTGTTGGAGAAAAAGATCTTGGTAGAAAACAATGATTTTGTTAGCTGTCACTGGTTATTTTTTTGTCAATACTGTAGCCACATACAAATCCACATTTTCAAATTACAGAGACGATACAGAGATGAAGTTTTCATACAATAATAATTTTCACTCCAATTTAATTATTTGATTCTATTTGCTGCACTGTTCTCCAAACCAGTGTTTCCCACCCTATATACTATAGCAGTAGTATATTAAAATGTAATACGCGTAATATATGTTTATGAGAAGATCATTATTTGTCCTGTTTCCTGTTGGGGAGTTTTGCTAATTGTTCTTTGTTGACCCTTTGTTATGATCCTTCTTTGCAGCTGACCCTGGGAGCTACCCTGCCATGGACTACCGCTCCAGTGACTTCACACGTTGCCTGATGATGTCAACCAGGGCAGCGCTGACAGAAAAAAAAAAAAAAAAAGAAAAAAAAAAAAAAAAAAAAAACTTTTTTTAAAAAAAAAAAAAAAAAAAAAAAAAAAAAATTGTTGATAAATTAGAAAAGTTAACAGTTAGTGAGTTTATTTCAGAAGAGTGTTAGATATTGCAATATAGAGAGAATTTCATGGTTTGTAGATTTTTAGCCTTTAAATATCTGTGAACGTTTATCCCATTATGAACAAAGTGACTTTAAATATCTCTGCTTTTGTTGGTGTTGTTTGCAAAGTCAGCGTAAACAATTCCTTGACTATTAGAAATAAAATGGAAAAAAATAAATAGTATAAAATGGATGGTAGAATTAAGAATTTTATTTTAATGTTGCAAAATAGCTTAAAATTAACTAAAAACGACCAAAAACATACACAAAAGTTAGCCATGAATTGGCCGAAGATGCCAGGAAAATATACCAAAGATTACAAGATAGCTAAAATGTCATATTTCACGTGATAAAAGAAAATATCTGGCCAAAGCCAGTAGCAAAATTCTTAATTCTTAACCTGAAATTTAGTAAATGAACTAAAGGAAGAAGTAGTCAAGTTCCTAAATAATTTAGAAAATGTAAGTGTTTGTGTGAACTAATTTAAATGACAAGTAAAAGTCATGCATAAAGGCTAAAATGGTTTTATCATTTTCTGCGCCATCTGTTGGAGACATGTGGGTATTGCAGGGAAAAGGCGAAAGTATAATGAAAAATAAATAATATAAATAAATAAATTGTATAATTTAAAAAGGTTTGGCGGGCTGGCTTAAAAGGCTGAACGGGCCGCGTCCGGCCCCCCGGACCTTAGTTTGTCCATCCCTGCTCTATGGTGTGATTTAGGACTAGAGCGATTTTGTAAGACAAGCAGTAAACAGTGTTTTAATGATGATGTAAGAATTTGTTCTCCAAATCTTTATATCCCCGCATCTGTCTCGTCCTCCCAGGTCACGCCTTGATCCGTTACAGTAATCTGGGATCCGCAGTTTATGCCAAGGACAAGTTGAATGGCTTTGAATATCCACCCGGAAACAGACTGGTAGTAAATTTTGTCGATGATGGAGAGGACCGCAGCAGGTACACGCAAGCACACACACACGTCCATAAACACTATATATATAGTCATCATCAGACAGGCCCACACATTAATGAAGCATAGAAGTGAAAGTGTCATTTAAATTTAAGGCATACGTTCATTAAAAAAAAAAAAAAAGTGACCAAAATGCCTCAGCTAATTAACGACGCTGAAAGTATCTACAGTTTAACAGTAAAGAGTTTATTACACACATTTCACGTACAGGAAAAAAAAAAATTGAATTTATGCTCGTTAATTAAGAATCGTGATAAAGCGCACATCAATTTTGCAGTTTTTATATTATATTTTCCGTTTATGTTGCTAGTTAGAATGATAACTTAAATGATCCTAAATATAAAAAAAAGAACCATAAAATGATGTTGAGTGTGGAGGACAGTTCCAGACGTGGCCTTTATTTATTCTCCATCGCCTAATATTTTATAACATAGAATCATTTTAACTGACTTTAACAAAAGGAGCTCACATTGCAGTTGGAATTTTCACCCTTTTTTGACACAGGATGACATACTTTCTAACATGTAAAGAAGACAAATATAGTAGAAATTATTTCTTATATTCAATTCAATGACAGCTAGAATTCAGATTCTCTCTATTTTAAAGCACACGTCAACCTTTGACACACACACAGTGATGGAGTCTGGAGACTTTTAACTCCAGTCTCTCAGGTGTGCTGATCATTTTTTTATGCAGTTTGAAAACCTCATTGATTTGTTTGTGTGTAGTCCCGTAGGTCGTATGGCCATGCAGTTTGTGGCAGCGCAGATGATGTCCACGCTGTGGAATGGACCCTCCACCAGTCAAGGCGTTAAACCACCTGTAAGTACTGTATGTATGTGAGCCCTGATAAAAACCTTTGTGTTCAGATTAATAATAACCAAAGCTCTGGGCCAGAGGTCTGTCCCGGCCAGTGGGGGCAGTGGTGGGCGTTGGTCACTTTGGTGATGGGTCAAAAGCAGAGGACAAATTTCATTGTGCGCCGCGAACAAGATAAATCACTTTCACTTTCGGTGATTTCCGACCGCTGCGCTGCGGCACTTTAGTGTGCCTGAGAAATTTTAGTGTGCCTTTTTACGAGGTCCTTGACCTATGGCATTTCATGGTTACGTCGCCCTCTCCCATAAATTTATTAAGAAAGTCTCCTTCCGTCATTGTAGCGATTTTTAACATTAGCGTTCAAACTCGCCAAACTAGTTTCCGTGTGAACTTTGAGCTGTACGCGGAAGGTGGTTTTGTTTACGCTCGTCGCTGCCGGTTGTACGCCATAAATTGGATTGTGCTACATTTGCATTGTGTGAGTCAGACTCTCCTGACATTTCTGTCTTATGTTAGCATAGGTGAGTGACATAGTTACTTAAGTGCAGCATGCAAGTTCCGAGTTACGAAATTCGACTTGTGTCACTCGGTAGGAATGGAACTCCAATGTTAGCTGAGGAACCCTTGTACTTTTTATATTTTTTTTTAATATTCATGATAAACATATACAGAGAAGGCTTTGCTAGCCTTGACGGTCTACCACTAGTAAAGAGTGATTTAAAAATACCCAGACTAAACCACAGTCAACCAGATGAGCCTTGTTGGATGACATAGAACTGAGTAGAACGGGCATGGGCAAACTAAGGCCCGGGGTCCGGATGCGGCCCGTTCAGCTTTTCTATCCGGCCTTCCAAACTTATTGAAATTCTATAATTCATTTATATTATCATTATACTTCCCTGCAATACCCACGTTTGCCCAATAGAGGGTGTAAAAAGTGATAATTTTTATTTTGGCATTTTAGCCTTTATGCATGACTTTTACATGTCGTTTATCTTAGTTCACATTAACGCTGTTCAGTTTTAGGACAATTGTGCCCCGCGAGTCAAAAAGTTTGCCCATGCCTAGAGTAGGAGCCAACTCCTGTGAGTCTCCTGTGAGTTTAGTGACTTAAACAAGGATGCTGATTGGCTGCAGCACCTGACTTAAATTGCTTTATTTCATGAGGGTAAAGCTAACTTCCTTGTACTGTATTATGTTTACTTGAAGAAGTGAGTTGAATCTATAAATTCTTTACAGGGTTTCTCTGGTGCCACTCCGATGTCCCGCGTCCAGACGGATGTTACCCTGCCTCCCCAAAAGAAGCTGGCTCCACCTGACAGTAAAACTAAGGAGCGCTTGTTCCTGGTGTTTAGCCCCTCCCCTCTGCCCACCGACATACTGGAGGATGTGTTCTGGTAGGTTCCCCAAAGAACGGGCTAATCATTTTTCTTCGTTACGACTTAATAACTGTGCGCTTCACATTTTTAAAAAAACCCGCACTTTGCATTTATGTCGGTGTGCGGCCAAATGGTAAGAATAATGGTCCACTAACCAGAAGGTCAAAGGTTCAATTGATTTGGATTTTTTAAGTACAGTCACTGCAAATTGCTGGGGATGAGAGCACGCAGCCTAAGTGCTTCTAAATGACAGTGTAATGGTGCCATTAAAACAATCCATCAGAGAGTCAGCATTAACTAGTGTTCCCGCTGCACACTGACATTTCTACCTCCCCCCTCACCCCCCACCCCGATGTCTCTGTCTGGGCAGTCGCTTTGGCTCTCTCATCGAGGTTCATTTGGTTCACGGAAGGAAAGTGGGCTACGCCAAGTTTGCGGAGAAGCAGGTGAGACTTTGAACATCACGTATGTTGACAAAAAAAAAGTCTTCGTGATACCAATTTAAGATGTCGATTTTTTTTTTCATTGAATTCGGCCATTCAGACACATCTGAAAATTCAAAGATTGTCTATATAATCTAAAAACAAAATACGTTTTTTTTTTTTTTTTTTTTATTTCCATGAAAAGAAAAAAAAATCCTCATTTCCGCTCCCTTTTATTCTCCTGAAAGTCGGCAGATGACGCCATGGCGGCGCTTCACGGTCAGGTGGTGAATGGTGTGAAGATGAAGGTGATGCTCGCTGATCCCCCCAGAGAGGAGTCCCACAAACGTCCTCGTACATACTAGGACCCTGTCTAGGAAGTGACTTGGTAAGTACTGAGGTTTGTGCTGCAGGGAGTTCTCTGCCTTGTTTCTCTCCTTACAGTGATGTTTTTGAATAGTTTCGTTATTTTGCCAATTCATTAATAATGTTAAGTAGTAGAGATGGGTATCATTCCTGGTTCAGATAGTCAATGAAATGCAGCGGTATAATGATAATATAAAAAAAATTATATAATTCGGAAAAGTTTGGCGGGCCGGGTAAAACAGCTGAACGGGCCGCATCCGGACCCCGGGCCTTAGTTTGCTCATGCCTGGCGTAGATACACAAAGGGTAAGTCAGGAAATACCCTGCAGAGCATCAGGGCTATTACAGTGTATGGATCAAAGACCAGCCCGGGCAAACGAGCTTCAGCCAATCACCAGCATTTCAGATTAGATATTTATCAACTGGGAGACATTAACCAATCAGCTCACAGGTGTCAGAAGTAACTTAAGACAGAAACTCCAGTGTTTGACCTTTGACAGAATTCATCTCTGAGGTCAGAAATAGATCACGTCAAGTTTTAGAATTTTTTTCACACAAAAAAAAAGATCCATTTCCTCCTGATGAAATGCAATTAATAGTCGATATGACTCTATATCAGTGTTTTTTCAAATGGTAAACCTCCAAAATATTTGTGATATTGTATATTGTCAGTCAGGTGACTGGATAATAAAATCAATAATAAAAATTAATGTAAAATAAGATTTATTATTTATTATTATTTTTTCAGTTCATTCATATCACTGAACTTGGTATAAAAGCATTGTAAAGTACTGGACTTTTTTTTTTTTTTTTCAGATAATGAGATTCCAAAAAACTTTACTTGCGATTAAAGTTTTTTTTTCAGCAGCACTAAGCTAAACCGAGCTAAAGCTAAAACGGTTCATATTCCGGTTGCTTTGCTGAAGTTGAACCTCTGTATCATTTTGTGATATCCCAAATAGGAAACTGAATGTATGAGCTATAACCTGTCTTTTCTCTTACCTGAGAATAGGAATGAATAAGACCGTGACAAAGTGCATATTTACTGATGGAATCAAACACTGACATTTGAAATCTTCCTGTTTCTGTTAACAATTCTTTTCCAGCAGTTGAGACCCTCCTTTACAGAAATGTTTTTATTTTTTGACATTCTAAAAGTACTAATTTGATCCAGAAATTCTTCACAAATTTAGTAATAAGCTCCTGTATTTCTCACAGGCCGTCCTTCACAAATTTAGTAATAAGCTCCTGTGTTTCTCACAGATCTTAGAATTAATGACTCGTATGAGTTGTCAGTTTCTGAAGTGACTAAAAATGTGATGAGTTTCTGCTGAGTGACTGGGAGTCGTTTTCTCTTCCTGTGAATAACGCTGCAGCTTCTTGTTCCCCAGGCGACTGTTGTCGTGACACAATGACACCTGACCTGACAGACCGACATCAAGACCTTCTTCTGACCCCTGACACGACCTTTGACCCACCTATCTGACCCAACTTTTGGTCAGTGACCTCACTGTGACTCACTGTAAAAACAACCGTCTCAACAACTGCATCACGTCCGGTGTGTGTCTGTGGTCTTTGTCATGATTTCAATCTTTTAAAAAAAAAAAACAACAACATTTTTTTTTCTTCTATTTCTGTTCTTTTATTCCTATTAGCTGGATTGTCCAGAATACTGAGCGGAAAACTGATGGTTTCAAAAAAAAGTTATAAACACAGGGTTGGAGACTAGTATCAGCCTATTGGATGAATTCGTCTAGGATGTTGTAGCAAAGAGCTCCTGATTTTTGCGTGGCTGTACACCACTAAGAAAAGATGAAAAAAGACGGCTCTTGGAGAAAAATAATCCACTAGTTAGAATTTAAACTTCACTCTCCTTTAAAATACTAACGGAGCAGAAGAGTGTTTTTTTTTTTTTTTAACAAGGAAGGCTCATGTATGTATCTGCATTAGTTGATTTGCATGATTTTTAAAAAAAGTCTTATTTTTAATTATTTCCAATATAAGAATAGTCACTTTTTCCCATATAGATGATCTCATGGCCTCACTGTGCTTCCAACTTTTGATTTTTTTTTTTTTATTTCCTCTCATTCTCGTCTGTGATCAAAATGTCTTTTACTATGTTTAAATAAAGACGACATAATTTAGTGATCAGGGGAAAGGAACTATCAACATGATCCATGAGCTAAACCACTTCTTCTATACTACCATCAACCCATTAACACTTCCGGGAGTCACTTCAGATGTCATGTGGCGACAACCAGTACAGTACACGTCAAACTGAATAGAGAAGTGTCTTAGACCAACAGTTAATGTGTACTTTTTGTGATACAGTGAAAATAAAGAATCCAAACATCTGTCTGCCGGCCTTTTCATTCACCCAGATAATTGTATGTGTTTGTTTGTGCCATTAGAAATGTCTCTGATTCTCATTCCTAAAAAAGTGCTACATCACACATCAGGCATTTTAAACAGCTTTGTGTCAAATTGTAGAATCTTTAAAACAGGCTTCGGGGGGACTGTTATACATTTAAAAGCCGTTGTTTAGTGATTTAAAAAGTATAAAACTCAAAGAAAGAAATCGGACTGCAAAAAGTTTCACCGTGGGCACAGGACACTACGATAAAATGAAATAAAAATCACATTTTTGTCTAACATTATTTTATGTATATTTTTGGAATGTAGTCACAGGACATCAGCTGATAATTATTATTATTATTTATTATTATTATTATCAGTCTTTATTGTCATTGTAACACAGGGATACAACGAAATTGCTGCTGTAGAGAATAAAAACCTTTCCTTAGTCATCTTAGTAGTTCTCCAAGCTAAATAATTATTGTATGAAAAGAGGATGACTGTATGTTTTATAATTATAATTTTATACATCGAGCAGTGAAATTCCTCATGACACAGGGTACAGACAGTTCAATAAAGTGATTATCTATAAAACATCCAATATAAACAGTAAAAATCTACATATTCTCAGTACTGTATCTCCCCAGCCAATGGATTTTGCCCACAAGTTCTCAGCTCGAAGTCCAGCGGCGCCAGGACGTAATGACATAATTATGGACTACAGTACCCGTCATGCCTACGGCGTCCGTGATGACGTAACGGGTCGGCAACCGCTTACATGTGGCGTATGAGCGCCGCTGCTCCCTGTGCCGAACTAGCATCAAGTTGTTCCAGCTGAAACAGTACATATAATTTAATATATCAGAGAAAACTATTCGCGTCCTATACAGCAGCTAACACCTGAGCCAGCATGCCACCAAAAAAACCCGCCGCGCCCGCGGGAAATAAAAAAACTCAAGAAAAGAAAAAGGAAAAGATAATTGAGGTAAATACACACGAGTTAGCATTGCGGCGTTTAGCGTTAGCTGCTATGCTAACGAACAGTTCACAGTTAACTTTACCGGAAGATAACATTAATGCGTGTGGCTTATGTTGTTTTCAGTGATTATATTTCTTCTTATTCATTTAAAACTGGTTGAATTTATTTTTACTGCCTTACATTGAGCTGTCCAGTTGTCAGCAGGCTAAGCTAACAGGGCCGTGCCAAAGCAGAAATACCTCGCATTGCTTTTCGTAATGAATACATATCACAAAACTCCAGGACTTAAATAAAAACTTATTTTGTTATGTTTTTGTATATATAACACATAGTTTTGTTTCCCGTGTAATATTACAGAATCTCGTTAGTAACGCACGGGACGGGTTTTTTAAACGGCTGAAGGACAGATCAGGAAAATTGGTTAATGCTTTTACGACGAGTGTGACACATTGATCTGTTTAATGGCTTCTCCATTTTCGTTAAATAACATTGGTTTCTTAGACATTTGTAAGTGATACAAAAAAACATTAGTCTGGCGTCTCGCAGGAAATTAGATGTCAGATCTGAATTTTCATGACAGATAATTGTAAACGTGGGCATTGCTCCCTGCCACCGTGACAGCAAGATTTAGTCGAAGAATGAATTAACGTCATCGATCGTGATAACAAATCAACTGGGGCAACAAGAATCTCAAATATAAATCAAGGTGTTCCTGTTTTATAATGTGGTAATCAGGTATAACAGCAGCGGATGAATGTTAAAGTATGTGAGACTATGGTAATATCAAGAACACTCAAAATATAGATTGATGCGTCTACTGGTACAACGTGTATGAAATCAAAATATAGAAACATTAAAGCTGTTTAATGGCATCTTCTATATTCTCTGACTTGGTGTCAATTTCATCCCCCTTAGATACATGGCTTTTTTTTTTAGCTTACATTAAAAAAAAGAATTTAATTATTGTGTTTAACACATCTATCATTTTCTATGTGCTGCATGGACTGAGTCGTAGAGTAATGGGAAGTAGTCATCACTTTTTTACTTTTACTTTTACATTTACTTTGAAAATGGTTGTTAGTTGCAGCACTGCCTGCAGCCATACTGTTGATATTTAGTAATAAAGTGTCCAAAAAAAAACACTGTTGCCTAAAACCTTTTTTTTTGTACGAGCATGAAAAGGTATGGCAGAAATTAATCAAGAATTTTTAATTCAATTTCTACTAAATTTAACAATTTATTATTGTTAATCCTGAAATTTAATTTTGTCAACAACACATGGTGTTTTTTGTTGTTGTTTTTATAGGGGAGCAATGAAACATTCTAAATGAAAAGTCAAGCAATGTGCTCCTCTCTGACTTTTAACGTACCGTGAAGCTAACTGCTAGCTCCAGCTTTAAGAAATAGTTAGGGTGAGCTTTCCAGTCTTTGTTTCTTGTCGAGTCCATACATAATACAAGTAAATCAGGAACAGGGTCTCTGTTTTTGTTTGTTGTTTTCTTCTAGGACAAGACCTTTGGATTGAAAAACAAGAAAGGGGCCAAACAACAGAAGTTTATCAAGAACGTCACCCAGCAAGTTAAATATGGACAACAAAGTGCAAGAACGGTTAGAAGACATTTACAGAAATATTTAATATATATATATATATACACATATATATATATACACATACTAGGGTTGTAACAGTATATGTACGGTATTCATATTTAAGTGTTCAGTGCAAATACAAGTGCACTGAAAAGCTTTTCGGTACATGGACATATTTTTAGTTTTAAAAGCATTTCAAGGATAACTATAATCAATATAATGTGGCCCAATTTGCTGCCCGCTGTGTGTGTATATATATGTGTATATATATATATATATATGTATATATGTATGTATATGTATGTATATATATATGTGTGTATATATATGTGTGTATATATATGTATGTATATATATATATACACAGACAGACAGAGTGCATCATAAGTTAATCAAATTAATCAAAACAGTTATGAAATTGTGCATCGTTCCATTCATAGTGCTCACCAAACTGAGACCACTGTATCGAAACGGCTTGAGACACACGCATGTACTGTTTCACCCCTAGTAAAAATTAATATAATAATATTAATAATCATTTTAACTTACACTCAAGCAAACAAGAATATCGTTCAAGTTCTGATGACGAGTGAGTATTGAAATTATTCGTTCACTCTGTGTGTGCTCAGCTTGCCCAGCAAGAAGCAGATAAGACGGGTAAAAAAACGGATAAGAAGAAAGAGTTGGACGAACTTAACGAGCTGTTTAAACCTGTAGTGGCTGCCCAGAAAGTCAGCAAAGGTAACAAGAGTTTCACATTGAGATAACAATGGTCATATATAAACACGAGACTAACTGATTCTATAATCATGAATGCTTTCTTTCTCTTTCTTCTTCAGGTGTTGATCCAAAATCGGTGCTGTGCGCATTCTTTAAGCAGGGTCAGTGCACTAAGGGTGACAAGTGCAAGTTCAGCCATGACTTGTCGATGGAGAGGAAATGTGAGAAGAGAAGTGTCTATGTTGATGAAAGAGATGAGGACCTGGAGAAAGGTTAGTGCACGAACAGAGGTGAATTTATTTTCTGACTCTTCCACGTGATGGTTTGGTGCAGTTGTATACATCATAGTACCATTTAATAATGTGAATCAGGGATCACCGACCTGGTGCCCCGGGGCACCTGGTAGCCCCCATGGACTACCTAAGGTGCCCGCGGGGTATGTTAAAAACAAAACCAGTCAACAGGGTCAAAAATTGTACCGTTACTGTGCTTTTTGTATCAGTTCCACTTGCTATGATATTCAAATGGGTTCAATGATGATGGTTAGAAGAGTGTCTACTATTGTATGACCCATAACTAACTTGTTACATTGTTTGAAAAGTCTCTATCAAACAAGTAGCTCTTCATGTTACTAAGTCCCCTTGAAGTAGCTCAGAGTTTAAAAAAGTTTGACCTTGTAAAGTTTCGACTGCAGCTAACTTCTGATGAAAAAAAAAAACCAAAACATGTTTGTTATATTTTTTTTCATTCATTATTTGACGGTATTTTCATTTTTCTTAAATTACAGAGGAAATGGAAAAAAATCTTGGTAACATTATTTTCACATGTTTGACAGAAATAATTTTCCAATTCAACACACTATTTTAACATGGTCAAGGAAAGTATTTGGCCCTGAGAATATCAGCCAGTTTTCTACCTTCTCTCTGGATTTTTTTTTACATGCAACAAAATGAAAATCCTTCCTTTGACTGAGCTATGTTTATTTTTTTTTTGTCCTGTTTAATTAGCTAAATCATTCTAGTGTTTTTAGCGCTTGCCCAAATTTTCTTTTTCTTCTTGCTCTGGTTTAAACGACAGCACTAGTATCATCCCTGCAGCAACATTTGGGGAAAGAAGAGAATAAAGATTGCCCACCAAGGCACAGTAGAATTAATTTTTCACTTTTTTTTTTGCTTGTATCTGGCAAAAGATTATTCCTTTGTCCCTATACATTTATTTAAGGTATAGAAAATTTAAGTGAACTTTGATTATCCTTCTTGCGCCACCATGTTTGTGTTTACTACTCAATTCATCTTGCAGTGCTTGTTTTGTTTAAAATAAATTTGCTGGGCCTTTGGTTTGTATTTCAGACACTATGGAGAACTGGGATGAGAAGAAGTTGGAAGAGGTGGTGAACAAAAAGCACGGCGAGGCAGAGAAGAAAAAGGCTAAAACCCAAATTGTGAGTGTTGTCAGTTGTAGGCTGCTGGACATGAAATAACTCCTAAGTCTTTTTTGAATGTGACATAATGTTTTGGTTTTTTGTTTTTTTGTTTTACAGGTGTGTAAGTACTTCCTGGAGGCTATAGAAAATAACAAGTATGGCTGGTTCTGGGTATGTCCATCTGGGGGCGATACCTGTATGTACAGGCACGCTTTGCCGCCAGGGTTTGTTCTAAAGAAGGACAAGAAGAAGGAGGAAAAGGAGGAGGAAATTTCTTTGGAAGAGCTGATAGAAAAAGAGGTAAGGATGACTGGAGAGAATGTGTACCATTTGAAGATGAGCAACTATTTCAATCAAATTACATTTAATACTATTACTTAACGTAATAGTAACTTAATGGTTGTTGTTATAACTTCTTTTTTTTATTTTACGGACTATAAGTCCCTCCGGAGTATAAGTCACAGTGCCACAGCAATAGCAGATACTGGTACAAAAGCCTAGAGTGCCCTCTAGCGGCTGTCAGTGTGAATATAAAAAAATTGAGGGCCCTCTAGCGGCTGTCAGTGTGATTATAAAAAAATTGAAAGTGAAATTATATATTTTAATATATGCCGCACCTGAGTATAAGTCGCAAACCATACAGTACAATAAATACAACTTCAAAAGAAGTTTTGAAGTTGAAATCATACGTCTTACCCCGTTTGACCGAATCATAATTTTTATGAATATTCCCCAGCTCCGTGCTGTATATTGGATTTGATTATCAGGTGATGTGTATTTGTTTAATGAGGGACGTAGATACCCCATCTGAAGGTGCATAATTATTAGGCAGATTCCTTTCCTCGGGCAACCGACTGACTGACTCTGAAAAGTTAAAAGTCTCTCAGAGTGATGCAGCATGAAACAAAATCTGACTTCTAAACATTCAGGTTTGAGCTTAATAACAATTTGGAGTGAGCCAGGGCACTGTAGTTGTTAAAAAAAAAAAAAAATTAATCGTCGCCTCTAATAACTGTGAACACAGTGCGGTCTTTCAGCCCATCTGGTCTGTGGCCAACATTTTAAGATCTTCTAAGTACAAATCTGGCCCACAGTGTAGTTATATTTGGCCCAAGAGATCATATCAAATGTGTACTAGAGTTGGCCTGCCAGTAAATAACCCCTAAATACTGGCAGAGTTTGTAGTATTAGCGGTGTATGCGTTATGTTATAGCACATGCATTTTGTTTTTTTGTTGTTGACTGTTACAAATGACAAATACTGTGTGTTTTGTTTTCAAAGTTTTTATAATATTATAGTTTATAATATTAAGCTTTGTTTGGTTCCAGATTGAATGTTTACACGTTTGTTTCCATATGAAAAATTCTGCATTACATATCTGCAGAGAAGGAGAAATATGCACAATTGCTGTCAATATTTCAATAAATATAAAATATATATACTA